AACCTGGAGGGAGTGGGTGAATTAAAATCCCAACTTCACTGTTCTCCTACTCCCTGATTGCTTACCAAAATCTCCCATTGGTTGAACCCGACCAGAAGCTGGAGGTCAAGGGAGCCTATTGCTGCAGTTCTTATGGGCCAGCTTCCCTAGAGTATAAAGCAGGGCAGGGAAAGGGTGGACAGTATATCTGGAGGTATTTGGTATAGTAAATATCTTTGCAAAGGTATTAAAATTGGAGCTATCCTTCAGCTCTGACCTCTTCTCCAACTCTTTTGAAGCATTCTCAGAAAGCTCAACGGCTACCTTTTTCCTGAACAATCTTCTCCCTGTTCATTGCTTATTAGATTGTAGAAGAATAAAGTAAGCAAGATCTTTTACCTCCAATTGGCTGAGGGTAAGACTGTTTCTTTACACAGGAATGAGTGCAGGCCCTAGGTTTTCATGCATCTATTTGGCCTCTTTCACTCCCTAATTCAAAAATATCTGGGAACATTTCTCAGCCATAGGCTGATTATGTAGGTATCATCAGCCTTGGAATAAAATAAAATAAAAGAGATATTTTTCTTGTATTTGTCATAAGAAACTCCCTCACTACACTTTCTGGTCTAGAAATGTCCCCAAAGGATCTTAGAGGAAGAATGGAGTTTGGTAAAACCAATCAATGGTTCAAACCAACAACAAGGCTGCTTGAGTACAAATGTATAATGCAAAATTAGTGGGCAAAATGGACATGTACCACAGTCATCACAAACCATCACTGACCACTTCACATTACATAAACACTACACCTGACTATGACCAATGAGGGAGAATATAAAGAAAGAATGTTCACTTCTGCAAAGTGTGGCCCATCCTGTCTTCATAAGTGAGAACCAAAAGGTGGAGTGTTTATATCTTCCAGGCCCAACTACTGCGGAAAGTGCATTTTCACACTTCCTAAGATATTACCAAGCAAAGGTGTGTGTCATCCACTTTTCTTACTCCATAGTAGAAAATCTATCCCCTTTCATCAGTAACCCATGTGATATCCTTTCCATTTTTTAAGTCCAATGACAGTATGCTTTAATAAAGTAAAAATTTTTAATTGAAAAAATAGCACCTCTTTTTCCTGACAACTTGGATCTATGTCTTCAAACACAGACTGAATTTTGCATGAGGACTAGGCTACCTTAAATATTCACGTAGTTAAAAGAAGAAGAGAAAGTAAATTTAAAAGGAGTAAGGGAAAGAATAAGAGTAAGAGAATGAAAAAGAAAGAGAACTATTATTAAAAACAATGACAGAAATACTAAGAAAAGAAAAGAATGGCAGATCTTTCTAGTGAAGGTAAGAGACAAGAGCTGTATTATGGGTCATTTTCTGGCCCAGTTCATGGGTGAGAGTATTCCCTAAGCTCTCTGAGTAATCAGAGTGCTGCAAATGATCTCGCTTCTGTTTCCTACCATAAGACACAATTCTTGACCTAACCTAGTATTTCCCTAACTACACATATAGATACTGCTCACACCTTCAGCATTTGAACAAAGGGAAAGAGAAAACAAAACAAAACAAAACAAAAAAACCAGAAAGTTATTCAGCCCACCAGGAATTTTCAGCGATTCCCTAATCTGAGTGGTAGCCCCAGGCAAGCTGTAAGTGGATTCTAGCAGGAAGGCAGCAAAAAGCTAGGAAAAAAAGAATCTTTTAGAGAGATTCCTTCATATTAAATAATTTGCTTCCTAACGATGATCTTCAAAGAAGGTTAATGTATTTTAATCTGTTGAGGGTTTACTGAGCATCTATTACATGCAGCACATAAGACCGAACTGTGGTGGTTATGATGATGATCACAGGCATATGGCAAATTGGCTTCCCCTAACAAACAGGTAGAACCCTTCCCGTTCTCTCCTTTGCAATGTTTGCTTGAAAAATCAGAACCACTTTTGAGCTTAATTCCCCAGTTTTCTTTTGAAGTTAAAGTATAGCCAACACCCAATGTTGCATTAGTTTCAGGTGTACGACATAGCGACCTGACAATCTGTTCCTTATGCTCTGCTCACAAGTGTAGCTACCATCTGTCACTACACAATGCTAATTCAATACCATTGACTATATTCCCTGTGCTGTACGTTTTATCCTCGTGATGTATGTATCCATAACCGGGCGCCTGTATCTCCACTCCCCTTCACCCTTAGTTCTCTAGTTCTTAATAATGTTATTTTATGGCTTCTTGTACCTGATCCACACTTCCTTTAATTCCTTGGTTTCTTTCTTTTGCCTTATCTTGACGGTTTCTTATCTTCTGGTACCAGTACATTTATTGCAAGTCACTTCAAATGTTTTTGGAAAAAGTAAATTGATGTTGAACAAATCAATATTACAAAACATTTCTTGCTTCTAAAGACCTCACAGTCTAATAAAAAGATAAAGTCGAAAGATATGATTGAAATATTACATCATGAATGGAGATCATAAAAGAGAAGCCCAAAATAAATATGTCTTAAAGAGGAGTGACACCACATCCAGGTAGGAGACCACTTTTGGATATGTCCAGTGAAATGAGCGTTGAATGACAGGAGAATATCAACACCTGAGGGTGTGAGGCTGGGAAGAGGAAATAAGCTTTCTTCTTACGAAGAAGAAAATATGCGCATTTAGAGCATATTAAAGTCAGATACTCTTTGGCAGAAGCCTAAGAGAATGAAGGAGATAAGGCTGGAAAGACAGCTGGGAGCCAAGCGTTTATATATGTCAAGGCAACTGGAAGTCTATCAAACAGAAAAATGATATTATCAAAGTGATCTCAGAGGTCACATAGTTACAGATAAGGAAATTAGGGGTCCTGGGGATAAGTGTTTAGCAGTACGTTTAACAGGCAAAGAGATGACTTCCTGGATGCCTGAGGAGGAGGCACCTTGTCTGCATAATCTCTACAAAGACCCACATAGATGCAAAGTTTTAAAAGAAGAAGCAAAGGAAGGGAGGCAACTCATTCACACCCTAGAAAAATGCAAGTTGAACTTCACGGAAGTCTGCTTTCTTCTGTCCCTATTCCCATCAGCATATTCCAACCCAGTGAAGAAATCTGTCTCTAGCTCCTGCTTGCTGACCAGAAACACCTCTGATGTCACAACAGATGAATCAAGATTTGGCATCCTCCCACGACATCCTGAAAAGTTGGTGATGGGGGAGAGGGACAGCGAGATTTCTTTCCCAAACGATGCTGCCATGACCAAAAAAAAAAAAAAAAAACACACCTAAACTTGGAGGATTCTAGAAAAGCCCATTTGGAAGTCATCGGTGAATCAGCGCCTTTCCATGACTCGGGTTAGCGCCGCAGTCTTTACCCCCAGGCCTTAACTAGCGAACTGGGTCCAGCTGCACTGGTACAGCTGTTGAGCGCCTTCTATGAAAAAAGTTCACTTCTGGCCCGAGTCCCCACCCCACCCCCACCCCTGAGTGTGTGCTTTTCCCGCTTCCTTCGCCACCCCCTGCCGTTGTTCCCAGGCACCGCGTGGCCTGTGACCTTTCTAGCACTCACGTGGGGCTCCCTGCCTCAGCGGCTTCGGTGATGATTCCTAGGAACTTCCCAAGGACCAGGGCTCTGCAGGCTCTGACACGCAAGGGGTGGGGGTGAGGGGAGGAAGAGGGGAGCTGGTTGTCTGGAGAGCCCCGAGCGGCGCGGGCCAAGCTCGGGCGGAGCGGGGTTTATCCCCCAGAAGCCCAGTCAGTGTCGGCCTTCCGGCCCTTCAACCCCCTGTTGGCGTTGCCACAGCCCAGAAGGCGGCTAGACACCCTCTCCGGCTCTCTCCCTGACTCACTTCGCTGCGCTTCAACGCCCTTTTCTGGATGAACAAGGGTTTGCAAGTACAAATCCGCGCCCGCCATCTCGTTGTTTCTCCTGTCCCTACAACCCGCGCGGGTGCTCAGGCCCAAGGCGACCGAAGTAGTCTAGGCTGCGCAGCGGCGGTCTCAGCGCCTGGGATGCACCGGCGCACGAATCCTGCGCGCCTCCGGAAGAGCCGCGCGCTGGACAGCACCCTCTCTGGGCGCGCACGGCTGCGCACCACGCGGCGCAGTGGGGCCTCGCTTCTTGTCTGGCTTTTAGAGTGGGGCTGTGAAGGGTGATGGGCGTTGGGCTTTGTGGTTTTAAGGGTTTCTTGACACCTATAGAACACCTATAGAACATGCTAGAGAAACCGCAGCCCCTGAGGTGACCCCAATCACCCAAGAGTAGGAGCTTCTTTCCTGAAATTGATAAGGGTGCTTTGGGAAAGTGAGTGTTTTGTGGGCAAGCCCCATTAGATCTTTTCCCATTCATTTCAACTTTGTATCAGCCCGGTGCCTAAGGTTCTGGGCACTATTGCATTTTAATGCCTTCACGCAGAAGTGCAGCCCAAGCCTGGGGTTGTACCCCCTTTCCAAAGCATCCCATTAAGTAAGCACGTGTGTTTTCTCAGTTGCCACAGAGGGAAAGAACTAGTTGAAAGTGGCCAAAAGAAATACTCAGGATGTACAGCATGCATGAGCATCGGTAAATAGTCCTTAGAGTGGCTGCCGTTTTGGGGTGTTTTTTCCAACAAGAAAGGGGCTTAGCCATGGAAGTGGCCCTGTGGGAGAAAGATATAGGTATGTGTTTCTTAAAGCACTTTCAGGTACATATCAAGGGTTTAGGGCAAAGATAAAAGGAGGAAGGTGAGGGAAATTCCTGATGATTTTACCAATGTGAAAATTCCATAGATTCGGCTAGTTCTAGTTTTCCTTTCATATGATCAATTCAGAATTCTATAAAGGAAGAGAATGACATCAAGGAAAATCATTGGCCTAGAAGAAAAGAGCCCGTAGGCGTTTAGGTGTTATATATGTGGAGCCAGAAAGCTCTGGAGCATCAGGGACACTCCAACTTAAGGCAACAGCATGGGTGAATATGGGCTTCATGTGCACTGGGAATGAGAGGCAAAGAGTGGTGTCTGGGCACAATGCCCCTAACGCAGGCCTTGCAGATCTAGAGACAATTCAGTATGGATGGAAAGAGTTTAGTGAGAACCTGGGGTGGAATTGGGCTTCCAAGTACATTGCCTGATGCCTTATTATTTGTTCTGTCAGTTTTTTTCAGGAAGATCTTCATCTTGCAACTGGTAGGGCTGGTGCTAACCTACAATTTCACTGACTGTGACTTTGAGAAGATTAGAAAGAAGTATCAGGAAGTCATTTATCAAGCCCTGGAGAAATATATGAATGGGGTAAGTGAAGAAACACTTAAAAAACAAATGTGTTTTCATCAAAAGAATAGGCATACCCACATAAAAACTACAATTTAATTTTTAAGGAAAGAAAGAAAAATAATTTGGAAAAAAGCATGGCCCAGCATTTTGTCAAAAATTTTTACAAGTGATATTTAAATATATTGGCCTCTCAAACAACTACCTAGAAATAGGCACACATTAAGTGTGCAGATACTGACGAGGAGCAGATATTGATAGATAACACATATCCATCAAGGTGTCTATTCTCTACCAAAGTGCTGCTAGAAAGTGCAGTAGAAAGACTGTGGGAAAGGGCTTGAGAAAGAAAAGAGAGTAAAAAAGAGGGAATTCTTGTGAGCTAAGTCCTAACTCGAGATAATAGCCCTGGGAAAGGTGCACTTCAGTTCTTTCTAGTGTTCCAGAAGCCTTAGAATGCCATTATGGGATAAGGTGCACTTCAGAGTTTTAATATATAGTAGTAATCATTTTCCTGATTATTCTAATTTCTGGATAGAGCACGCATGTGTGAAATGCATGAATGGCCACAAGGCAGATTGTGGGCATTTGAAAGATGGTATTATTACTCACTTGTGTAGTCCAGTGTACAAGTGTGCCCAGTTTGGTGGCGGTGGGAGGGTCTCTCTCTAGGACCAGGATCCTTTGATACCCAGTTTCAAACACTAGCAGGCACTATCTGAACTCAAAAGTGTTTCACTACCTTGTCAATGACGGGAACAGATGCATAGAAAACAAGTGCCTAAGTGGAAACTGCTTTCAGAGCATCCTTAAAACCTGGGAGCAGGCGGCTGCCTGGTTTTCTCCTGTGAACTAAATTTTTACCCTTCTTGTCATATATTTTTTTTCTTTCTTCCAGATCAAAAGCACCGAATTCAACAACCCCATCTACTGTGAAGACCCGGTGAGTGTGTGGTCAGTACTGCTGGCTTTCTCCAGGGAGACACCAGGCGTTCCTGGGAGAGGGTATCCCGCTGTGCGTAGAAACGCAGGCTGTGGCTGGGCTCCCGGGCGACGCAGACTACGTAGGGACGCCGGGCTGCGGGAAACCTCTGGGCCGGTGGCCAGCTTGGGATACTACTATTGTTCCAATTTAGGGCAAGGAAGTCTCTCCCTGGCGCGAGCGGGACTCTGGGAGAGTCCTCCCTCCCCCGCTCCCCGCCCCGGGGAATAAAGGCAAATCGGGAACCGGGACCAGGCAACGACGTCAGAGGAACCTCTCCCGGGGTGCAGAGCCTCGGCTTTGGGCGCCGCCTCTTGGCAGTCGCCTGGGCCCTGAGACTGGGGCCGAGCGAGAACGGGCGCGCGTCCTTTCTCCTCCAGCGCCGCTGCCACTCTCAAAACGCCCTCCTTCCACCTCCTTCCGTGGGTTCTTTCTCCTTCTCCTCAACCGAGACTTCTTCCTCCCGCTCCAAGCGAGGGGTGGCTCCCGCTCCCCGTCCCGCACCTCCCCCGCCAAATCTTTCTTACCGTGTTTTTTTTTAACTGGTTTTTTTGTTTGTTTGTTTTTCCTGGCGTTTTTCTCTTTTTCTCTCTCGTAAACCTTGCCTCCCGTGAGCAGCCAGATTGCCTCACTAAAATCGAACGCATTACCTTCTATCCCACCCACGGCTGCACGTCTCTCGCCAAGGAAATCTTCGCAGTAGGAACTAATGCTGCGCTCACTCTCCAGTGCCCAGGCTACTCCGGAATGCAGGTAAGCCAATACATTGGACTCTCGCTTTCTAAAGCCTTGGAATTAAGCTTAAAGTGGGACTTTGTTGCAGAAGTCTTTATGATTTTTATTCAGGACCTATCTTTCCAAGAGGAAATGAGCCAGGTAAAAGCTGTAGATTCAGCCCCACGTTCACGCAGGGACTCCAAACCCACCTATTTCTAGGGTTCTGATTGTTTTGGCAGAATCGTAGTTCTGAACCTTAGGCAGTGTTTCAAAGTATGATCAATGAGTCTCCTTCGTCCTGGCTGCCCGAGCATGGGAGGGTGATTATCCAAAATGGTAATTCCCAAGGACCCAACCTAGACCTTCAAAATCACAGTCCCCATGCATGGGCTTCTAATGAGATTCTTACCCATTCCAAACTTCGAGCAGCATTGCTTGGGCTTATCACTTAATAATGTGTGCTTCTTTCTTAAATGTTAAGTTATACATTAAATCTCTACCCACGTTTGCTTAATTGCTTGTATGGCTGTCTCTTTACATATGGATATTTGTATATGCAGTCACATGCATTTGAATGGATATGTAACTCTAAATAGAAACAGTAGTGCAGAGTGAGGAGCAGGAAATCTGGAGATGGCCTTGCCTGACTTTGAATCCTAGCCCCAAAACTTCTAAATTGACAAAACTTCTAGGCTCTGTGTGCTCAGTTTCATATGCAAAATGAGGCTCATATTAGCAAGTCCCATATAGAGTGTTTATGAGGATTAAATGAGTCAATAGATGTCAAAGTACTTAGAGTAATGCCTGGCACATAACAAGTCTTCAATATTTATTTCAACAGGCAAGTAAAATAGGGCATTTATCTCCCTGATGACAAATTTTAAAAAGACAAAAGAGAGACAAGTGTGGTTATGTATGACTACTGCCAGCCTTTTAACTGGTGACCTTTCTCAGTCTGCACACTAAGTGTGTGGCCAAGGCTGTCACTATTTGCCAAGGCTGGCAAATCTACAGATGGCCATAGTGACATTCATCCATATAAAGAGCATCGAAGACAGTCTAGATCAAATTCTGGACAGCTTGTGAAAAAGGGAAAGTCTGAGTAATTTATTTCAGTCCCCTCCCAAGCCTAAAGGGAGAGCCTAAGACCGATAATATTTATGATTCAGCAGATTTTAGATTATAAGATTTTTTGCTTAGTAACCTGATGAATTTGCTTGATCTGACTACTGTGTGTCTAGAAGGCCCAGTCTGTCACTACCCAAGAGTAATTCAGGTAAAAGAATACATGGGAAGATTATCACGTCTTTTTTTTTTTTTAAGTTTAAACTCCTCTTTAGTGTGTGGCACACGTAGGTGGTAGGTGGTGGGAGGGGCAGAAAGGAGGAGCACTTTGGGTCCAAATAGTAGGTCTACTGGATTATATCCATAAAGAGGCATACACCGTCTTCTTGAGGAACCTAAGGTCTTGTCAGATCATGAAACCATTAACTGAGTCATTTATTTAGTCATTCAATAAATATTCAATGTTTCCTACATAAAAGACATTGTGCTCAGAACTACAGGGAATACCCATGATGCAATAATAAAAACAGCATGTGAGAGGGTGCCTGGGTGGCTCAGTTGGTTAAGCGACTGCCTTCGGCTCAGGTCATGATCCTGGAGTCCTAGGATGGAGTCCCACATCAGGCTCCCTGCTCAGCGGGGAGTCTGCTTCTCCCTCCGACCCTCTTCCCTCTCGTGTTCTCTATCTCTCATTCTCTCTCTCTCAAATAAATAAATAAAATCTTAAAAAAAAATAAAAAAATAAAAACAGCATGTGAGAGCCAAGTTAAATGAAACACACTCTGAAGCACAAGAAGAGTTTCCAAAAGAAATGTCTGAGCAGTTAGCAGAGGCCTTGTAATGGAGGTGGCGCTTGGCCTTGAACCCAGAGTGGGTGGGTGGAGAGATGGAAGGGCATTCCTCTGGAGAAAGCATACAGGAGCAGCCAGTGAGTAGGTGTTTTGGGGACACACTTGAGAAATGGATTTGCATAAAGAAAACCCTGCCATTCAATGGTTGTTAAAGATACTGACAGTCTTGACGATTGATTCTCCTGTTCCACAGATAAATAATACCCAGGCAAAGAAGAAAAGAAAGAAAAGAGAAGTTACAACAAATAAATGCCGGAAACAAGTTGCATACTTAATAGAACTGTGGCGTCGTTTCAGTCGCATTTCATAGAAACAAAATACACCTTCCTTAAGGCTGTATTTCATAGCAACCAAATAAATCATCTTTATTAGGTAGATGTAATGTTAACTCTAACTGTGACATGTGAAAGACTGCCGATAGTTATTTTTTAATTATGTTAGGGTTTCTTAACTTATTTTTGTAAGCTTCTATTGTTTGATATGGACTTATAAGGCAGGGGAAATACTATCCCTCAAATGGAGAGGGATGTAGTGGTGATGCCTGAGCCACTCACTGGCCCAGGTAATTTTCGGCTGCACCTACATAAGCCTTACTTCAGGTGAAGAATCTAAACACGACGTAGAAGGGGAAAGGAGAAGGTTAAGGCAGGAAAAGCTTGAACCCAATAACATATAAACATCTGTTTAAAAGGCAAGCATTTCTTCTACACGTGCTGATACTTCTTATGTTCTCATACCAAAAACATACAAAAGAAGAAAATAAAAGCAAAAGGGGGTGCACAGAAAGTTGTACATCTAATGAAGCAGTTTGAAAGAATTTCCAAGCAAAATATTGTGGAAGTATTGTAAATCAAGTTTTAAGAATTATCTGACAAGAGTGATATATATGCAAGTAGATTCTGAAGAAGTGCCTTTGTTAAAGCTAAAATATATGTATCTTTAAATTTATGGAATATATTTTTAATTTATTTGTAAGCACTTTTAAAAATGTACATATTGCTTTGTAATTGACACTATTTCTTAATAAAACAATTCTCAAATTAGCTTCTTATGACTGGTCTTTTTGATGTAGTAGTTTCACACACAACTTTCTGAGGGGCATCACCTTTCTTCAGCTCTTCTTTTGAGGTCTAGCCTTAATTTTTATTTATTTTAATTAAAAATGTTTTTTACTGAGGTATTAGTTTCAGGTGTACAACGTAGTGATTCAGTATTTGTATATATTGGAAAATGATTGTCACACCCAGTAATCCTGGTTATTATGTGATGAAACTAATTTTTTTGTGAAGAAAACTTTTAAGATCTACTTTTCTTCAGTTCATTACCTCCCCTCATCCTTGAAGCCCACTGCCTACTCCCCTTTTGCTTTGTGCCTTGGCCCTGCCTATGGAGAGAGTATTTGGGGATAGGTGGCTTCAAGATGCATTCCAATTATCTTTTTCCTAAGTTGTGCCTCTAGTCCTCCCTTCCCGTTTAACTTCCCCCACATCTGGAAGAGACAATGGAGACTAAGGTAAACAATGCCCAATCCATTCTGTTATCCTGGAATGCCTGCTGCCAGCTTAGAGCAGCAGGTACTGGCTCGCTCACCTTTCAGTGGGAGGGGCCACCCTAGCCAAAATAGAGGAGATAGCAGTATGTTGATTTTTCCTTGAGTGGAAACTTTCCCCTGACCACTGCTCTGAGGGCTGGTTCTCACAGAAAAAGAGAGGTTCAAGGTCCCTAAATCCATCTTACCTGCCAACAGGTAAGAAGAAGCTTACATTATGTATTCAAAAAGCATTTATGGAGCACCTAGTGGTGCCATGCCTTCAGCCAAGTACCAGGGATACAAAAGTAAATAAAACACAGCTTTTACCCAGAGAAGCTCAGAGTGTTGCCGAATAGGCAGTTTCCTTTGCTCTAAGGGAATTTCCTTTGCCCTCTTTCCAAAATAAAGTCCTCTAAAGAAAGACCCGGCCCAGGGCCCTAAAATACCATCATAAGAGAAACTCGTTTGGGTCTAGCACAGGCTAGTATTCATTAATTTCCTGTGCAAAAGGTGGGGAAAGAGATGGCAGTTTAAGCCTATTAACTCCATTTTACTAGAGGTTAACTGACGAGATTACACTAAACTGTGCAAAGAAATATTTTCACAATTTTTCTCAAGGTGTTTGCCAATTTCCCTGTAAGCAGAGAGGAATGAAGAACTGAAGATAGAAGAGGCAGCTCAAAGTCATCTGACTGAAAGCAGTTTCTTTGAGTTTTCTGCTTTATCTTTAAAATTTTGTGTAATTTATGTTTTACTTTTCTATGTACCCCATAGGTGTTTTAATATAAAAGTAATCCATTGGATTACTTACTATCAATAAAAGTAATGTGCAAGAAGATGCATATATTAATCTAGTAAGAACTTTTCCAAATGTAAAGAAAACGTGGATTATATATGTCTACTTTTTGAAATGCACTGAGGTTTTCAGGGTGGATTCATATATAGTCCGTTTTATAAATGTTCCATGGTCAACGGAAAGAAAGTTGCAAATTCTGGTTTAAGCGTATATACTTACTGGGGCTCCTTTGTTAATTAGGCTATTTACATCATCTATATCCTCATCTCATGAGATGGAAACAAAGAAGCATGCAGCAGCAATTGCAGTTGGCAGTTACCATACGATCATCTTTCAGATGTGAAGCTGTGAATGGCAGAGAGATAAGATGGAAAGAACCTGAGGTTTTAAGTGCACAAGAGAATGGGTGGATTGACCAAACTTGAAGCCCCTCCTAATTTCCCACTGTGTGAGTGAGATGAGTAAAGGTTTGGTTTTGGTTTTGAGTCTGTGTGATTATTGTCACTTACTGCTGAAAGATGCAATTTAGAAAGCCAACAAGAGATATGAGTTAGGCTCTTATTTAAGGAATAATTTGAAGTGGGGTTGGGTGTGGGGGGGTGGTGAGCAAGATGAAGCCAGGCCTTAATATAATGGGGAACAAAGCCTAAATTGTGACTGGGATGGAAGGGGCAGTACTGGAGAAGTTAGCATATAAAAGGAATACCACTCTTTAGCATATTTCATATTGCTTCCTCTAAACAAGTCTCTTCTTGCCTTGGAGATTATAGCTAAGCTGCTACTTTTCTAGAATGTACTCACGGATGCCCTGCTTTTATGTCCCTGTTCCCTTCCGTTCTACTCTCCTGTCCACTGTTTATGCTTCTTATGGGGAAAGAGATGGTAAGGGATTTCAAATTGTGTTGAGGATGAATTTAGACTGTGTTTGGAGCAGATACCTTGGATATGAAAATTTGTGGAATAATTTGGGGTAAATAGATCACATGGATGTGGAATTTGAGGAAAACCTGGTGAAATCTTATGAGAATGGCTCCTACTTTATCCTAGTACAATGTCTAACACATAGTAGATTCTCAGTAAATATGCTGAGTAAATGAATAAATGAATTAAACTGAAATTAAAAGTTACCTGTTTCCCGTTCCTTAGGGTTTCATGAGTCAGAAGTGGAATTGGCAGACACCAGAACTATCTGGTGTCTGCCACCTGCTTTCTCCCCAACATTACTTCTCTAGGTATCTAAAAGGCAAGAAATTATCGTATTCCAAAATGAATCAATGTTGTTGCAGTGTGCCACTCTTCTCCGTAGGCTTCTTAACAACCCTCTTCTACCTACCCCCTTCTCCCCAAAATGCAAAATAAAGCATTTGCACATTAAACATCCACTAAGCCTTCATTTTGTGTCATCCCGGGGCACATAGCTGAGAACATGGATAACTTGAAAATCTTAAAATCCTACCAAAGGATATTTATCATTTATGAACCTTGTGTCCCTTACCTCCTGTAACACAGTCTTAATACTTCTATAAAGAAAAACATACTACACTTTTCTTAAAAAATCGTTTTTATATGCTAATTTTCAAACATTTCTCCAGAATTCATATAGGCTCTCACCAGGTTATAGTGAGATAATAACCATTAATTCCCACTGACTTGTGACAACAACAGTTAGTCACTCATGTTACAACTGGGAACTGCAAATCAGCTCCAGGTTTTGTCCACATACATTCTCATTCCAGGACCCAGGCTGCAAAAGCAGCTTTATCTGGAATATGTCTTCCTCTTGTGGCAGAGGAAAAGAGCAAGTGACTTGGCAGAAACATGCAATAACTCTTCAAGCTTCTGCTGGGACATGGTGTACATCATATATGCTCATGTGTAATGACCAAAGCAAGTCAAATGTTCTCTACCCTGTCTACAAAGGATTTGCTATAAGGCTGGGGCAACGGACAGGGGTATAAATCTTCCTATAGGGAGGGAGTATAAGTATTGGGAATCCTAAAATAATAGACACAGCTCATTACTCTGGGAGGGGATATGACTGATATAGGAAAGAAAAAACATTTCACATTTTTAGCATTTTTTATATAGGTTTTTTTTTTTCTGAAGCAAATGTTTATTAAGTACCTCTTTTCCAGGCACTGTTCTGGGTGCTTGTTATGTATCAATGAACAAAACAAAGAAAATAAATCTCTACTTTCATTGAACTTATCCACTAAAATATTAAAATAAAGTAAAATAAAATAAACCTATTAGATAAGCTAATAGTATAGTAAGCAGCTCTTCTCTCTTTTTGAATTTGAATAAATACTTGCAAGTAATTAGCATCTTGAACCCTGTCAAGGCACACCCCAAACATGGCGAGAAATGTGCACTGCTATTGAGAAATCCAGGGTAAAAATGAAAGTTCAAGTAAGTACAACATGTCAGGAACCAGGTAACAAGCTATCATTCTGTTAGTATCTGCTCTTTAATTACCCAAACATCCCAAGTGTTCAAGACCCTTTTGTGCCAGATACTATAAATCAAGATTTTCTTGTTCAAGAATGTACTAGTGAGATGTTCAAGTTAGCTGACATGTTATTCTCATCTTTGAAATAAAATGTAACATTTTAGAACTAAAGAAATTTAAGAGATTATCTACTTAGGCCTTTGTTCATTAGATATAATTGGTAAGACCTCTTCATCATTGTCTACAAATATGGTCATGTGCATTTTTATTTTTATATGTCACTTGATCCAAATCTTACTAGGATGCCAAGATTTTTTTTTTATAAATGAAAACCATATAGAAATAATAAGGATAAGAGGTTATTATGTATGTTGAACTTTGGTCCTTGGTTCTTAGGTCACCACTGTCTTAGTTCATTTTTACATGCTCGGAGGCTATTCCCCAAACCTACATCTTGGATGGGCAGCAGGCTCCAGAGACATGGTGCTACACTATCAGCCATCTCCAGCATTTCAAGGTACTTCTAAGTCCTAA